TTGGTTCCAGAAAACTACATGTTCGGTTATATAGATCGCGGAAATTGTGGCTTCAGAACTAGAGTATTACAACGTGTATTCGCACAATTGCACAAATGAAAACTAACTATTCTCTAAATCTATTGTTAAATTAATGAATCAAAAAGAAGCTATCTTCTAACAGGTAGTTTCCATTGAACATTTACCCACACATCGAATATTTCAAAACGTATTTATCAGTTCTACTAATATATTTATCAATTCATTAAAAAATGTACATTCCCCGATGCAAAACTTAAGAATAATAAAACAATTCTGTCCCCGTCGCATCTAAGCCACGAAATTCCCCAAGAATCGCACAGCGAACGCTACAAGGAAAAATCGTTGCTCACGTAATCCGTAACTTAACCAATATCTTGTTCCCACGGAGCCGCTAGAAGAAATCTTTATTATACATTAATTCCTCTCGGATATTCATCTTCGGATTCCCCGTGCAAATCGTTCGCGTGAAAAGTTCTATAAAACGTCCGAGTAAAAACGGAATACTTGTTCCGCGTCTGGCTCGTGCAAAACGACGGTATAAAATGGGGGAATTCGCGTTTCATTTCCTTGACACACGATCTCCGGGCGCAGTTTATTAACGAATGAATAATTTCCCAACCGACTGTAAATTCAGCCTTCGGCGAATCCCTGGGAGACTTTTCCCCTTTCAAATTCTGTTTCTTCTTCCCGTCTGATCCCTTTCCCCCTTGCCCGTTGACGCCAAGGATTACCCGCCGAATTCCTTTTAAGGTAATTCCGTAAGATTTACTGTCACTCCGCCATTCTTTTTCTCTCGGCGCGTCTTCGTCGTCTAACCTGCCCGGAAACACGTCCTCCGTTTCATTCGCCAGGCCAGCGTCGGTCAAAAGAAATTCAATATATTACCGTTGAATCATTAAAATCTCATTCATTAAGTAGATACCACCGCCCTTCCTCTCTCTCGCGAGATTTATCCTTCCTTCCTCCTCCAGTCGTCGCCTCAGTCAATCCCCTTTCTTGTTCCCTGTCCATCTCGTATTTCCTGCCGTTTAATATCGTCCATTCCTCGGCTTTTCCTCCTCTTCCTCTGTTCTTTTATTTCAGCACGAACGAGCTGGTAACGGGAAATTCTAGGAAACGGTGTTTAGAGTCGTGAGAGGAGCGTTCGTCGCTGCGGCATATAAACGGTGGTTGAAGGTGTCATAAATTGAACGTTTCTTAGGAATGGGATCTCGCGATGGTCGCAATAAAGATTAGCTAATTGATCGGCGGGTAATTCGTTTGATTGCATGCTGACAGATTGAAGAGTTACTCTAATAAACTGATCGATGATATACTACTAATGATGTGATACTTTGTTTAATGCGGTGGATCATTAAATCGTGCACTTCACGGCGGACTTTTCAAATATAGAAGATGTAGTTAGTGTGTGAGTTCGAATATGCTTTGATTTCTGGTGGAGTCGCTTTGAAAGCGTATTTCAATATCACTAAAGCGCGAACCAGTTACGAAGACATTGATGGAAAATCGATGTAGTAATCGCCACCTATTTTTGTGATAGAATAGTATTTTTAATGAAGATATTGATTTCTGTTGAAAATTATAAGTTAGTCAACGTATATTGTGAAAATAGATATGTTTCCCATAAGTTTTTATTTGGGTCCTCAAGAGTTAAGATGAAGCACGAGTAATAAAATCGACAAAAATTCGATATGTATTAATAATATAAAAAAATATAAATCGATCAACGTACGTGAAAATAAATGTACGTTTCCCATGAGTTTTCATTTAAGTCCTATAGAGTTAGGATGACGCACGGATAATAAAATCGTCGAAACATTCGATATTCAAAAGATTCAAAGTTCGTACGCAAGCCTCAATCTTTTTTAATCGTACAATCTATAGAAAACAGACAGTTGGAATTTTTATAAAAATATTCATTTCCATTAAAAATTATGAATTAACCAACATCATGAAATTACATCGTGTACATCATGAAAATAAATGTATGCTTCCTAAAGCCTTTTATTTCTCACTAAAGGGTTAAACGGTTGGATTTCAATTTACCATAAACGTAGAAGAATCCCGTAGTCCGGTCACGAGGGACCAGGTTGTATCGCCGTTAACCACACGCATGCAGCCGGGTCTAGGAATCGATTTAAAGTTATACAATTTTATTGCGGATCCCGTGGTTTTTCATTTTTCATGCGAAGATAAAGATGTCCGCCGCGTTTACACGGCTTGTCCCGTTTCGCTCGCCTTCTTGCTCGGTTTTTTTCGACCTCGTCCGAGACCGGCGCCGAAGGAAGCGCTATCGTTAAGCCGATCCCACCCCGCTTCGCGTGCTGCCACCATTTACATCGCGTTTCCAACATTCCTTGTATCCCCCGGGTTTTTGCGGCTTCGCGCAACTTATGCAAAGTAAATACCGCTCGCGTGCGATACCGGGGAACGGGCAGCTTCAAAGTGTTACGGAAAGATAGTTAATGAAGTTTCTTTAACGCGCCTCGTCGGCGCTTTTTATACGGTCTACGCGTCGGAGGAGTTCACTTTCGTTCTCCGGTCTCTTTGTGACTTTCGGACGGTCTCGTTTCGGTTTCGTTGGTTCTTCTTGCGTGGGATGTTCTACTTTGAAGAGGTTGATTTTGGGGAATGTTTGACGCTACGATTATTGTAGCAATCAAAATTACTGGTTTTTGTTTATTTGTTTCGTAGTTATTGATATGGTGAAAGTATTAAATGTCGAAGTACTGAAAGTATTAAATGTTAAAGTATTAATGTATTGAAAGCATTAAATATTACAGTATTAAAGTATAAAAAATATTGAAGGCATTAAATTATTAATGTATCGAAAGTACTAAATATTAAAGTATTAAGAGTTAAAGTATTAAAGTATTAAAAGTATTAAAGCTATTGAATACAAAAATATTAAAAGTACTAAGCATTAAAGTATCAAAAGCATTCAAGATTGAAAATCATCCGAAATGATTTCAGAAATAAGTACTTTCGCTTGAATACTATGATAAATGTTGAAGAAATCGAAGAAAATCTATTATTGCAATTTTTATAAAACTTAAATGCTCGGTAGTTTTAGTATTAAATTATTATTAGGTTGAAAAGCAATAAAGTTTCAAACTTGAAAACCTTCGTGCGTTTTTATTTAGGTATATCTCAAGAACTTATAGTAAATTTTTTACGAAGTAATACCTTATTTTCCTCTGTGATAAATGTAAAAAATGTTATCGATATTCTATAAAAAACGATGAACGTTTGCAATCGTAACGTTGAAATACAAAGATTCTTTCTACAAATTTTTGTACGAAAACTTCGTCACAACTATTTCCATTGTTCTACACTTTATACCAAAAATAGTATAATAAATGGTACAACAAATGGTATAATGGTAAAACACATCCATGTAACCTAGTACAATTTCTCTTCAGACTTCGTTTAACATTAAATTTACAGACATTTACTCTACAATTTGTCCTATCATTCTTAAAAAGATATTCGTACATTTAGATTTTGGAAATTCGAGGTTTAAAAGTAGACAATTAGGATACATATTTGCATAACTGCCTCGATCAAACTCGCTCCAAATCATAAAGTTCAATACGAGTCAAATTGACTCGTTCCATAAATCAAATATTAAAAATGCGACGGCACTTTTCGGCCGACCGAACACATACAACAACGACAAAGCAAGTTACAATCGAGCCGCGCGAAAAGTTTGTAGTAGAGCCACGACGAAAGCGAACGTAGCAGAAAAGCTGCGAGGTGTCAGGAGAGATTGGCAGGTAGAAAATGAAGAAGAAGCGAGACGAAGTATGCGAACGAAAAGGAATCTGCGTAAGGGGAAAGGTATGTACGAAAGGGAGAACGTGTCGAACGTCCGCGAAAGAACAGGAACCGAATATAGCACCAGGAAAGAAAGGCAGGCAACAAATGGTAAAGCCCGAGAAGGGGAACAGCTAAAAAGTCCGTTAACGATGACTTTACAAAAAAAGGAACCGCGATGGCACCGATGTTAACCCCTTGCCCTATGATTTATTCCTCAATTATGATTGATACAACTACTTTATCGTTGATAATTTACTCGAGAAAGAATAAATTTTGATACTTACTCCACGTCTAAGTTAACTCAGAAGGTTAACGATTGATAATTAGAAAGTAATATTCAATCTACGTTTGAACAAAATCAATAACAATTTATCAAATTCAATTAAAAATTTTCGTCACGAGTCTGAATGCATCGAGAGGTTGGTTTCTTACATTATGATCTTCCTCGCAACTTCGAAACTGTTTTATTGTTCATTGTTCGTTGGAAAAAAGATTTTATGGTTACTCTACGTTTACGGTTACTTGAAAGTACTAGAAGGGATAATATTGGGTACTTATAGATAGACAGAAATATCTGTCATAATGGAAAAATAAAGAAGTTGTTGTAATAGAAAAGTAATATTAGGTCTACTAGAAAATTTTATCTGATAGTGTTATCTCATCTCCAGAGATGAGTAGTTCTATAGAAATGAAATCCACAAGTTAGTATCAGGAAGAGGACATTAGTAACGATGGAAATGATATTTTTCAGTAAATATTAATAAAGGTATATTGTAAATGCATTATGTTGTTTTAACTGAAAAATTCATAAAACTTCCCGGTAGATCTAATATTTCATTTGGATCTCGAGGAATCAAGTGATATTTAGATTTCTCATTTGCATTTGAAATGTTTGCTGTGAGTCTGGCACGGTATCGTTGGGCAAGGGGTTAAAATCGAAGTTCACGGCGAGGCGAGCTGCAAATGGCCCCGTTGCAACTCTATTTCTCCTCGTATCCTTCTCTCGTCCCTTTTTCTTCGCCGCTGCTTTCCTCGCGGCACGTATTTGTCACACATCATTAACGCCACTTACGAAATATCTTTCCCCGTCCATTCGTAATACAATTTTTCTATCGTTCGATGTAAACGACCGTTCTTTTTTTTCTCGTTTTGCTTCGCAGGTACCAGTTTTTCCTGCAAGTCAAGCAGGATATTTTACAAGGAAGACTGCCAGTCTCGTTCGACCTGGCAGCGGAACTGGGAGCCTATGTAGTTCAATGTAAGTACTGCATCATTGTCGTCTCTTCTCGTTTTTAGGTGAATTATATTTTTATGGTAACAACGTTAGGGAAGATTTATCGATTGCCATCATTGGGCTGCAGATCTTCGCGAGTTTCTTAGGAATTTTGGTGTACGAAATTACACGTCAAATATATAAAATACATAAAGTATATAGAGTATATAATAAAGTCTGTGAGATCTATAGAATATATAATACATTTTATAAAATATATAAATATCCAAAGTGTAATGTTTTCTATAATATTATTATTATTATTATTATTATTATAAATATAATACATATCATTACCCCATATATTATTCTATAATATTATTAGTTATTATTATTGTTATTCTACAATACTATTATAATATTATTACAAAGAACCATAATCTATCGTAATTCTATTTCTCTAATCCAAAAATATGAATTTGCATAAAGATCCGCAGTCTACTCGTCACTGTTCTAATTTTGGCCATTTTTACGATTATCGTGTCCAATCGAAACTACCTGTATTTTTTAACTGAAAATAGTTCGTATGTATACCGGTGTCAGTCATCGCGTCATCCAGCCGTAACAAATACTTTCTTCCAGCAATTCCGCATACATACGTTTCCATCTGTTCTTTAATTAAACTTAATTGGTTAACACTGTTAGCACAGCCTTAAACGGACACTATTTCAATTCTGCCTCTCGAAACCAGTACATATCAGCACCGTACCACCGTCACACTATCGAAGACTTAAAACTCTTTCAC